AAAACCATTTATTGATTGAAACGTTACCTATAGAATGACTTATTTAGAGTTAATACATAACTATTTAGTATAATTTGTGTAGCGCTGAACTGAGATCTTATCTGCAGTATAATTTGTCTGTATTTTGTAGGAGACACATTTGTTATCAAAAAGATGGAAAATATGTTTAAGCATTCAAGGACTTGTTACTGTTTCTCCTCTCAGCTGAATAAAAGGAATTGTGGAGTGGCAATTATCAGTTCAAGTTTCTTCTTTTCAATAAGGGATGAATTTTGAGAAGCAAAAGGGAACTGGTATTAACTTCTACTCATACTTCTAATCTTGTGCTCATACTAATCATACTTAGATCCACTGATGCCTCAGATTTTGGTCTGCACGCTTTTTATAAAATATTATTTAAGGAGCTTGAGAAATTCTTTGATGAAACAATCATATTAGTGGAGGGCTCCAGTGCTGTTTAGAATGAAGAACAAAGTAAATTTTATGGAACTGGGTCTATTTAGCACTTTTATTACCTAATTCTTTTTGAAATCAAGTTAGATAACTGAGTATAACAGAAAAGATACGCGCAGCTATATCCATAACTCAATGGTTATACTTTTTACTCATCAGGATCATTCTTCTTTTTCAAGAATAAACTTTTTTATGGATGTTTAAGACACCGGAAAGGGTAGATCTGGAAAATGAGAAACCTGAAAAATAACCAAGGTCTTCTTTTGTGTTTTCTGTTGTCATTGGTGCCAGCATGAAAATAATAGGTTGAGAAGATCCCATGGTGATTGAACAATATCATTTTAAATGACCATCTTTCAGAAGGAGAATTATCAAAGAGGTTAAGATTTTCATAATAACAATACACAAGGTCCAAAGTTTGGGAGGGAGGCAGAAAAGACCTTAACCAAATAGGAATTTTGTTAAAGAAATAGAAGCAATTGCCTAAAAGAAACCAAGAAACTGGAAGAAAAATATAAACTAAAGTGGAAGCATGAAGCATTTTAGGGCACAGAAAGGCACACACACACCCCTTTTTGAGAATTTCAATGAAATATTTTTAAATGTTTTTAATTTGCTAGTAAAGTTAAAATTTGAACATTGTATATCTCAATTTTTTAAAAAAGAAAAAAATAGGAAACCATTAGCTACCATGTAACTGAAAATTGCTTCAGAGTTTAAGATTTATCATCAACAATTCTATTTACCAGACAGATCCAGCACCTGATTCAGGGGTCTTTGGGCAAGATGTCCTCAGTGCAGAAGTGGCTCATTGGGTGGGGCAGAGTTGCTGTGCCAGTTTCCCATCAGGTGGGTCACTGATGCTTACTGGAAGTGAGTGTGGGAGGTAGTAGGGAAGATTGGCACAGTGCAAATGCACCGGTGGAGCCAATCTGGCATTCCTGCTGGTGTGCCTGAGCCAACCACCTCGCCACTTTGCCTCTACCCCTCTCCCTCCTGGTAAGCAGCAGCAACCCATCTGCTGAGAACCTAGTGTGGTGGCTCAACCCCACCTGCTGAGATGTGTCTGCCTCAGTGGGTTCTCTCATCAGTACCTGCCCAGGTCCTCTGGTCCCATTCCACACCAGTGTGTATAGGGAAGGAGCCAGGAAAGTGGGGGGGGGGGCTGCTGCTTCTCCTTGATCCTGTTCTAATCTCCTTGATTGCTCACTCAGAGCTATAAGTGACAGCAAGGGGAAGGAGCAGGCCTGTGCAGTGGCAGCGGGGGGGGGGGGAGGGGAGGCAGGCCAGGAACTCAGATGGTTAAGCTGGCTACTTTTTTGTTTGAGTATATAACTTTATTCTAACAAGACTCCCACTGCAGTGGCCTGAGAAGGAGCAATGGGCCCGGTGGCATCAGCAAAGGCCTTGGCAGACACCTGGTTATGCAAACTCCTAAAGCCAACTTTGCTAAATATTCGCAAATCATGTGTTTCTATATCTTTTGTCAAATAGCATTAAGGTGCTTTAATTCACTCCTGAACATTGAATAGCCTGGTAAGCACTATCCTATCAGATGAGAATCATCCTATTGGATTCTTTTATTATTGAAACAGCATTTCGAAGTTAATTATTTTTCCTAATCATCTAAACTCTTTCATAGCTAATTATAATTATGTCAATCAGACGGATTTATTTTGGTCAAGGGAATGACTGATTAATATTAGGTGAGTTACTGAAACCATTTTATAGTCAAATTCAAAGCTATTCCGTTTCCAGATCTTGGTCTTTTCTGTTAAGTTAAAAAAAAAAAGGCTATTGATAGATTCAATTGGAAATATATTGATTATACTGTAAATGTTTTTGAGACTGGTCTCATTAGGAGATTGATTGGAATGAATTTTATCTCACCAGAAGCTAATGCAGCCATTAATGGTTCATCGTCTAGTACGTTTTATTTGAGGAGTTGAATTTGACAGGATGTCTCTGCTGCCTCTCTGGTATGCTTTATGTATAGATCTGGATGAAGTAAATTGAGTTTTGTGATATAAAAAAGTAATGATGGGCAGATCAGTCCTGTGCTGTCCCATCAGTCAACTGAAATTCTCTATACTTTGCTGTGTCTTGGAAGTGGGAAATCATTTTTTTGTGAACTGACTGATAAATTTCCTGGTTGGTGAATTATAACTTGCTATACATTGCACATAATGTGCCAAAATGAAGTTGTATGTACATTTTTAGAGCATGTCCGATTAAATTAATGTTTGGACGAGGTCCTTTGTGGGTTCTTTGTGATGACAAAATAATGTGCATGAAGAAATTACTATATGTTGTTCATAACATGCAGAATGACATATAAATGATTTAGTTTCATGCAAGAATCAATTCCTGCATATGCACATTTACAAGTTTAATGCTGGGAACAAGTTGTAGCATCATAATGTACAGCAAGATGTTATGCATCATTCACGTTCCCATCCATTCTCTCACTGGCTGTTTCCACTGTGTGATCCTTCCCTATGTTGTAGACTCTGTCCTATCAAAAAATATTGTAAATATTGCTTTCCAGAGTTAGCTCTGCCCAGCAATGGTTAGGGTGGTGCAGGCACGTTGGCACTGCACACTTGGTTTCCCAATGTTGAGTGTCACTGCTGGTTACTGAGGGGTGGAGGGGCAAGGCATGGGGAGCTCAGCATGATGCAAGCACAGTGGCAGGAGCATCTGGTTGTATGTGCCATTGCACCTGGGCTGAGCTCCCTGTGTCTTGCCCCTTCCAGTGTCCCTCTCAGTAATCAACAGTCATGCTCTGTATTGGGAAGCCAGATGTGCAACAGCACCACTGCACAACTCATGGCTGTTGGCTCTGCCTAGTCCTCCTGCTGCTACAGTCATTGTGTCTGTTTCTCACCCCTTTTGATTCTTTGTTCTGCAACCTAAACTCCTTTTTCTTGCCTTTATTTCACCCTTGTCTTCCCTGAAGCATCTGACTGCAGTATGAAAAGTACACCTTTTCTTTCCCACTGGGAAACATATTATTGTAAATATCCAGGAATTCTTTTTCACAGTACATATGGCCAGATTCAAATAATGAGTCCTGCTAGTGGAAGCTCGCACCAGGACTCCCACTAACACAACCTTTTCACACAGGCCTTTTCACATCAGGCAAGCAGAATGATGGAGTGATCTCCTTAGCACTACATTGAATTCTACCCATAATATTTTATTTGGACATGTTTCCTTTAATCAATAGTACATGATTGGCTTTCAATATGTTTTTCATGTGCACCCCTTGACCAGTTTACATGGTGACTGTTCTTGTGTGTGAGGGATGCTCACATTGGCCCTTTGTGGCCCTTTGTTGAGCTTACATGATTTTAAACTTAATATTAAGTTAATATTAATTATTAGAACCAAAAGATCTCAGTGCACAGACATCTGACAGATCATCAATAATGTCTTTAGCGTGTTACAAACATTTTTGCATGGCTGTATACAGAAAAATGGATAAGAGCATTATACATTTTTTGCAAAGCTCCATGTCCCATCCCACATCTTCATTGTTGCACCAAAGCATAAATATTAACAACAAATGAAGCTGTGTTGCCTGATCGCTTTCTCTCATTTAATCCAATTTTTCCCATTCCACAGTTAAACAGATAAAGCAAATAGATCTAACTTCAACTTGCACTCAGTTCATGTGTGTATGCACTGCCTCACCTTGTTTTGCTGGGCGGTTCTTCAAAGCCACTTCTGCCTTAGGAGGAGATGGAGTTGTGGGCACTCACGAACCCTTCAAGTGCACAGGCGTGTGGTCAGCCCTGCGTGATTGGGGGTATTCCTGCCTGTGTCACTGCCCAGGCAACCAAGCCAATTGCCCTGGGGGTGCGGCTTGCTTGACTTAAGCAGGACCCAGCGGGAACCTCACCCCTTTTCACACTTCCAGCTGCTCTGGTTTTCCTACCCTCCCACCCTTTAGGTTATTTCATCTCTTGACCTTGCTATGGACTCTGGTTGGTCGCCATTGAGGGGCCTGGTAGGACTTTTTCCACTTGGCAAATTGGCTCCACCACTTGGTTTTCGCCTACCTCATAGCAAATTGTCACAACTTTGTAAGGTTTGGCAGTTAGGCATTGGAATATTGCTGGAGAAGAGAGATGGGGAGGTAGCGCCATCACCTCCCCCGCACATTGAAGGGCATTCCATTAAAGGATTCTGGGGGTGTGGCCCTGTCCGAAGCCTGGGCAGGCTAGGGCCTAAGGCATGACCCCTATCGGTGGCCCCGGGGGAGCTCCTAGTTGATGTGCATCAGCAGGACTCTCCCTACTGGTGGTTAACCCGGCACAGACTCTGTGCAGACGGGCGGGAGTCAGATATAGTTGGTTAGCCTAAGCCAATACCACTCACAATCTGCAACCAAAAAAGTTGTGGCCTTTTTAAGCCCATTAACCTAAAATACTGGTGTCAAGTGTCTTTATTCAACCTCGTGGGGGGGGGGGTCAGGACCTTGCCACACAACTGTGTGGTCATGTTCTCTGCAAGCGTTCTCTATCACCATGAGAAAATATTGTAACAAAATGTGGTGTGGCTGGGTGAGCATGATCTTTTATTTAATAAGGCTAAAGAAGAGATTAAAAGTTGTGCTACCAGTGAAAAAACCAACAGGCACCGAAGAAGCTAACAGGATGTCATAAAACCAGCCAAACGAAAAGGCCCAGAGGAGGAATAGTGAAGACACTGGATACTTTGACCACAGAGGAACAGTTAATGGAATGTGGAAAGATGAAACCACCAGTGACAACCTGCCAGAGGTGCTTCCTAATTCAGAGACCTGGCTCATGGGAAATTCCAGTATAACTAATGACAAGAAGTCTAGGTCCAGTGAAGATAAATGCAACTGGATTCTGGTTAAGCTGCATGCTAAATTGCCAATGATTGCCCCTTCACCAAATCAACTACAGCAGGGCTGACTCCCTGATCATGTTCTAGTGTGGATAAGATTGAAACAGTCAGAGATGTTATCAGTGAATAAGAACACAAATCAGCAGATCAGCAATCATATATATTTGAAGCAGAAAAAAATAGATAAGCCACACAGCCTGGAAGCCGCAAAACTGAACAGAATGCATTGCTAGTTCAATGTTGCCCTTCAACATTTTGGAAATCAAAGATTTTAAGAAGTTTGTAAGCACACTTTGGCTCCAATTTCGTATAACTACTAAGCAGTCAGTATATTGTTGGGCCTGTCACAGAGCACAGAACAAAAGAGGAATAGAAAATGCATTAAGGAAATCAGATGAGAAAGCAGTCTACTTCACAAGTGACTTTTGGATTGGTAACCAGATGAAATCATACCTCTGCATTGGAGTGCAACTTCATTGATTCCTGTCATTATTAACAAAAAACCAAAAACAAAATTGCAACAGTGACAGATTGTTTTCTGGAACACACAATGGTGACAATATATCCAGACAGTTGCAGGAAGTGATAGATGACTGGGTGACTTCATTGATTTTAGTGGAGGGCTGTATCACTACCGATAATGGTTGCAATTTCTTTAAACCTGTGAGACTAAGCAGCACGAATCATGTGCAATGCATTGAACACTGCCCACTTCTGGGTGTTCATTCTGCTTTGCCTCTGTAAGAGTGAGAAAAGTACTGGTTAGCTAGCAAGAACAAAGCTAGCAAGAATAATCTGTGTGCACTTTAGATAGCTGCAGGCTGCAATGGAGAGCATAAGAGCAATTCAGGTATGACATGGCCTACCAGAATACTAATTCATACTTGATGTACACATGGATTCCAGACAAACTTCAGCTAATACCAGAGGAGGAGGAGGAGGAGGAGGTGGTGGAGGAGGAAGAAGAAGAAGAAGAAGCGGTGGCATGGAACTTTACCAGACATGCTTCCAGTAATGACAATGATACTGGGGTGGAGGTGGGGGGCAGCACTGGTGATGATGAAGGCACATTGCGTGATGAATTCTACTAGGAGGACACCACAGCAACAAATGAAGGTATTCAAGTTGACAATACATTTAACATGAAAAAAATTAGTGGTTATTTGCGTGCCTGCCATTCAGCTTCTCTATGGTAGTTTGTTATTTTTGAATAAAGTGTGCTAATGGTAACATTTACTTCAGTGCTAATGAGTTATTCTGTGTACAAGTACTAAAATAAGCTACAGGCACAATGAATTACAACCCAACACACAGTGCTGAACAAAAGAGTTGAATATGTGGATAGATAATATTTTGAGCCTATTCATGACCTGCACACGTCTGCAAATGGAATGATTAGTTTGAAACACTGTCTGTTATATCTTCATTGTAACATTTTATTGCTGTAAATGCATAGTATTATGTCAGATTCATACTTAGTATAAGTCTTGCATTTAAGAGTGTCCCCTCTTAGGTCTTTGTAAATAAAAGTACTATAATGAGGCCATTTTTATTTTATTTTTAAACATCAGTCTCATGCTACCATAGATTCTATCACAGCATAGATGTATATAATGGCATTATCACATTATGCTTTCAGAAGTTTCATTTTCAATTCGTTTTCTAATGATCCCAACATGGAATTTCTCTTCTTCACCACTGCATCACATTGGATCAACATCTTCCATGGGCTATTATGACCTCAAGGTCGGAGCAACGTCGTTGGAAACCTGTTTCTGCCAGCACCCAGACCTGTTCTTCCAGAGTTCCTGACCTCGCCTGGCTTCTTGCTTTGGACTCCGCTTCGCCCTTGGTGGACAGTCTCCAGACCCTCGACCCAGGACCGGACTCTGACCACGCCTCATGGTAACCTCCCCCCGGGACCAGCACAAGACCATAACCAATGCTCTAGATACACCACAAGACAAGCTAAATGCATGAAGATTCACCAGCTAGCATAAAGTAATCTTTCTGAAGATGGCTGTGAACAGGGCTATTTTTCTAGAAAAAGAGTTGCTGGAACTCACCATGAATACCTTCTTTGTTCTCTTAAAATGGCAATGGTACCCACCTGAGAGGTGCTGGTACTGAGTTCCAGGGAGTTCCATCTGAAAAAGGCCCTGGTCATGGAACTTATGTCGTACTGTAACATGGTGTTCTTCTCCACTGAGAGCACTGCACCCCATAGTTGCCTTTGACTGGACTTAACTGCCCAGGGATCCTTTACCTTTACCTTTACCTTACACTGACCTAATCACTTACTTCATCAAATCCATGGTGCCCTGCTTTCTTGAATAAAAGTATAAAAGGCACTGTCTCTCAAAGCTTCTGCGACACATTTATTTATTTAATCAAATTTATATACTGCTTGATTGTAAAATAACAACAACCCTTGCAACAATTTACAAAAATATAAAACAAAGCATTTAAATGATTGATAGAAACAGTTTAAAACAGGTATTTGAAAACTCTCAAAAGATAATTAAAATCAACCAAAGCTAAAAAGCGATAAAAGGAGATATAACTTCTACATGTCTGGATAGGCTAGCCTAAACAAAAATGTTTCAAACTGGTTCCAAAAAGGACACTCAAGGTGCCTGTCTGATAACTGATGCCTGCAAGTTATGACTCCTTTCTGTGCACTGTCCCTTCAGGCTAAAACCTGCAAGAGAAAATCACACTAGGAAATGAATTTAATTGGATTTTGTTTTTTTAAAAATATATTTTATTTAGTTTTGTTTGAAAAGTTCACAAGAACTTTTTGGAGCTTCATAGGCAATTTTGTGTGGCTGCAACAGCAAAAAAGTGTGAAAGAAGAGTCATACAAGCTCCTTAATTGGTCTTAATTCATAGGACTGAGCCTAGTGAGCTAGAAAATAGAAAAGAAAACTAAATGTGATGAGATAGATGTGCCTGCTAGAGTACATTTCTGACTGATAATGGGTCACTTCCAGTGTTCAGAAAGTTCTGTTTTGTATGAAAACCACTTCAATCTGAAATCAGCTACAAATACTTCAAAGTTTTGAAATAATCTAATGAGAGATCTGTTTCTCAAAATGAACTGCACCATAAAACACTCACAGCTTTGTAAAATGACAGTCTACATGCACCCAGGCAGACGTTTTAAAGGAAGAAAGGCAATTTGGAAGCTACTCTTGCCTCTAGTTTGAAGACAAGAACAATGGGATTCTTGATAAAACTGAAAAGCCAGCCACTTCAAGGGAAAATTCCCTTCCATATGTGTAATTAGATTGTTGAATTCACTGTCACAGGAAGTGGCAGAGGCAATAAATTTGACAAAAAACAATTGGGGAATTTTGGATGACAATAATAGCTGAGGACTCATTAATAGTACCAATTTGGGGTAGAGAATGAAAAAGTCTGATTCATTATGCTTTAGCAATATTAGGCATGAAGATTAGACCTATTCAGGGTCTGCTTTCCACATCTGCATGACACTGAGGGACTTACAGCTAGAGATGCGAGCATTTCACCCATTTCAGCCTGTTCCTTGGTTGTTGTGTAAGTTTTGCTTTTGTCCTACTCCTCACAGATTCCTGTTCTAGAGCTGAGTCAACATTTTGAAAAAAGACCAATTCCTGGGGCAATGATTTTGGAGATTTTTCTTTCTCACACCCCTTGTCCCAGAAAAATGAGACAAATTCATTCCAAATATTCTCCACCATTTTCCCAACCCCAATGAAAAGAAAAATTCTCCTCACAAATAGGATGGACAATTTCAAAAGTTCATTTGTTCATAACTCTATGGAAGAATTCTAAAATAAACTTCAGCAGTGGTGAAAGCAATTTGCATACCAATCCAACATTTCTCCAATGAAAATAGGGGCGTCCTATTCCTATAATAATAATTTTATTATTTATACCCCACCCATCTGATTGGGTTGCCCCAACCAATCTGGGCAGCTTCCAACATATATAAGAAAATAATAAAACATTAAACATTTAAAAAAACACTTCCCTATGAAGGGCTGCCTTTGAATGGTGCGGGGGTTGGATAACTCCATACCCGCTAACATTTATCCAATGAAAATAGGGACATCCTAAGGAAAAGTGGGGCATTCCAGGATCAAATCAGAAACCAGGACAGCTTCTGTAAATCCAGGACTGTCCCTGGAAATTAGGGACACTTGGAGGGTCTGAATTTGCCACATCTTTCCATTCTCTTTCCTCCTTCTAGTGTACATAAGGCAGCAGCAGATGGAAGGAAGTGGAAGAAAAAACAGCTAGCTGAAGGAGTGGGGAAAGGTACAGGTTAACATCAGGCCCCCTGCAGAAGCAGCTATGTCTAAGAGGCTGTTCTGAAAGGAATTTAATATCAGATCTAGGCCTTGTCAAGGCTGTACACTATCTGGCTAAGTGGCATCTGCTGCTCAGGACACTTTCCAAACCAGCACACTTTGCATTGGTGCTGGGAAGGCAGGATGTAAGACAAGCCTGCTTGGGGCAGGGGGTGCTGGTGGTCCTGAAGGAGCAATGCCAAAGAAGGGCAAAGGCAAGGACCCACCCCCTATTCATAGCTGCATTGGGCATGGTTTTATATTTGGCATTGTATCTTTCCCTGTGGGGTTGTGTTTTTCTCAAGGCCACTTCTAGTGTGAGAGGCTGGACATGGTCTGAAGTGGCGTCAGCACCAGATTTAGGGTGGCAATGGGTCCCCCCCCACCAGGGTGTCATGCCAATGGGGCACAAAAATGAGAACATCCATAACTGAGAAGCTTCATTTTGGGGCACTACATTTAGCCTTATTCAAGGCGCTGTATGTCCACAGATGTCCACCCCTGATTATGTCTATTAATAGAAAGTGGTTTCATGCCACTGAAGTGAGAGTCTAATATTGCATGGAACAGTGGCCTTGCTAGGTGGGAGGCAGGTGACAGAGTGGTGAGTTTTTATCCTAGGTGAAAGCTGGATTACAAGTCCTGACTGATTTTTTATTTATTTTTTAGTAAGTGTTGCCTGATGCTATCTTCTTCTACATGCCTGCTGTTGGTGCCAGAATGTCCTCCCACTTCCAAAATAGTGGGAATTTTTGTTCCAATAAGGAGGAGTGGGATGCTAATGAAAGCCATTTTCAACAACTCTCCAAGATAAAGATAAATGAACTTCAAAGCCTCATTTATCATGGTGATGTCTGTATTTGTAAAGATTTAATTACGTTATGTTTTAAACACATGTTAGTTTCACCTTTTTGAAATAAAACTTGTAGATTTTTACTTGCTATAGGGACTGAAAAGTTTTCCTGGCTCTACCATGTCCGAAAGAAAATCCCAGCTGTGATGAGGAAGCAGATGCTGTGGAACTAGACAACTTTTTGCACAACCTTGTGTGGGCCAGTGATGATTAATGAAACTGAGGGTAAAGACTGTGAATATGTTCATTACCTATTCAGGTTCTCGATATCAGTCAAGTGGCTTTTTGGACTTTGCAAACATTATTAGATTACTAAGAAGGCTAAAACATATCATGGTAGACACAGAGGCTACCATAAAAATGAAATCTAATGATAATTATGCACACCAGGCTAGTCAACCAGAAACTCTATTAGCTAATGAGATTAGACAGCAATCCTGTCCAGTGCCAATTAATCACACACCAATGCCAATATACCTGAGTTTAAAAGGGCACCTGATTATCTGGGAGGAGGGAGAAATAACACTGCCGTATCAGAATCTTGTGGTTTATTTAAAACCCTGTGAATTAAACTTAGGGAAGAATTTCAGTTTAGAAAACAGGAAAGTAGAGGAAGGGAAACTTAGGATGTACAAAATTAGGCATGTTATGGAAAAAGCTGAAAGGGAAAAGTCATCCCCACCATAATATTTTAGAGCAAGGGGTCACCAAATGAAGCTGAATACTGGGAGACTCAGTTCAGACCAGAGGAAGTACTCCTTTATACAATGCATGCATGCAAAACAAAAGGACCACACAATGGAATATGTTACCATAAAATGTAGTGATGACCACCAACTTTGATGGCTTTAATAGGGGGATGAGATGAATTCATAGAAGTTAAGGCTATTAATTGTGATAAGGCTACTAGTTGTAATGCCTTTGTTTTAGTAATTGTGAAGCAACATGGCTGAATTAAATAATGTTGAAATGAGTACTAAAATGCACTATATTCCATTAGCTTTGCATGGTGTGAAAGCTCAGCTATAAGGTAGATATTAATAGTGAGGGAAACACTGTGGAAATGGAATAAACTGGTATGTGAATGCAACCTAAGTCTGCTGAAGCAAAAAACAACAAAGAGCATTGCGTAACCTTAAATAAGGGGTGGGAAACTTGAGATCCTCCACATGTTGTTGGACTCCAACTCCAGGCAGCCCAGCCAGCAGGATCAATGGTCATAGGAGATTAGACTTGTAGTTTAGGAGCATCTAGAGGGCCAGAGGCTCCCCACCCCTGACTTAAAGACTAACAAATTTATTATAATAGAAGGTTTCATGAACTGCCACAATCCCCTTTGTTGTCCTTTATGCATGTAGTTATCTGTAGGCTTCTCTTTGTAACTCTCTCCCATTAAAATGTGAGCGGCACAGATACACAGTGGGAAACCATCCAGTGTGTATCTTACCAGTATATTGAGTAAGAAAACAAATTAACCAAGGCCCTTTGATCTCAAGATTAGCTACTGGTCGTTTACCTACGGGATTTTATCTGAAATGAAGCTCTAATCACACTAGCCACATACATGGTTTAAGAAGAGATTAAAATTAAGTTTCTCAAATATGCCCTGCATTTAAATTTCATATTTCCACACAACAGGGCTCAATCCTGAATTCCTTATGCAAGCAATATTCTCAATGGAATTAAAGATTTCTCCGAATACGCATAATGGAACAGAAGATCCATGCTTGATAAGGATTAACAAGGCTTTCAGTTCCCTCTGTATGTTGGATGGATACCCATCCAAATATTTATTATACATTTAATGGCCTGGGTGATGTTATTTACATAGTCATTACGTTTATCTAGGAGGGAAGAATAGTATCACAACTCAAAATGATGGCTGGTTGATTATGTAGATCTGCTCAATGACAGATTGGTCGTCCCTAAGAATGGCAAGAGCATATGAATGCAGGAGTCAATGCTATGACATTTGTGGAAGGGGTACAAAAGATTCTACTGCAGGGCTGAAATGAATCATTTTAGATGAGGTATTAGGATCAGGCCTCTGGGGAGCAGATTATCTTGTCTCATTCTATTACAACGGTTTTGCATATTGCTTTTCAGAATTTGAATATAGATTCAGCCCCTGCAAATTAATAGTTGGTCAGAAAAAAAGGGATCTTTGTGGTAGTGCAAAGTCAGCTCTCTAGTTAAGGACTGATTTCTATTTTGTGAGATACAGTACAAGACTCTGCTAAAAGAAAAATAGGGGCTTTGTCCACAATGTGTATGAACAGATGCTCACACATTCCTGCAACCATCAAAAA